TCCTACAATGGGGGGTTCCCGAATAGCTGGATGGTTTATAAGGGAACATCCTACTAAAATGGATGATTTGGGGGTACCCCCATTTTAGGAAACCCCCATATATATAATAGGGAAAGTGATGATGAAACATGGTTCTGGTGGCACGCTATGTTCTCACAGACATTCCCAGAACTTGACGAGCTACCAATTGAATGCAGCAAACGGTGTATTTCTGGTCTGCAAACTAGAGTAGATTGCCCAGATGACTGGGAACCTGCCAAATTTAATTTTGAATTGAAATATGCCCACCCCCTGCAGTAACTTGTGGTTGTTTAATGTTGTTGAGGTTGCCGCGTTGGAATACTGCACGTGACCCAAACAAAAATGGGTTGAATTAGGGTTGCATTAAAAAAGTGAAAGATTGGATGCCGCTATGACTGGATCCATGTGGGAAAATCTCAGAACCTCGAGTCAGTACTGGAAAATTCCTAGGCTTGAAACCAATAGAAGGTTACGATTGAGATTTATATAGATCACCATGTATACCATCCCAGCCTTGGGGTAACAGTTGTCCTATACTTGGATTATAGATTGTTTACCAGTAGTACCGCACAAGGCGGTGGCGGAAGTTTCAAAAATAGGAAACCTATAGGAGAGGTTGGTTGTTGTGACTCAGGGATGGCAGAGCGAAGCCACTGATGGACTGAAAGGTGCTTGAGGTCTCCTCTTTTCCTCTCTCTCTCTCTCTTTTTCTCTCTGTTTCTCTATCTTTCTATGATTATCTACCTACCTACCTACTGATCTATCTGTCTATCTATCTATTTATCTCTCTGTCTATCTATCCCCCTATGTATTTATCTAGCTGTCTATTTTTCATTATTTTTCTAGCTCTTTGTCTATCTATCTATCGATCTATCTATCTATCTATCTATCCATCCATCCATCTATCTATCTATCTTTTTATTTAGCTGTCTCTCTATCAGTTTGTCTGTCTGTCTGTTTGTCTGTCTGTCTGTCTGTCTATCTATCTATCTATCTATCTATCTATCTATCTATCTATCTATCTATCTATCCACCTATCCATCTATCCATCTATCCATCCATCTATATCCCAATGATAGTCTAACAGTGTTGATACTTGGACTTATGTTCCAATATGTTTGGGACTTCAGTGATGAATGGAAACATATCTCATTATCTATTTGATATGTAATGTAATGATTCATGATACTATGGACTTATATTCAATGATATGTAATCCCAAGTATCAATTGGAATATCCCCATGATTGGATTAATTACTACCCCCATTAAATCCCATTAAATCCCTCATAGCTGGTATGGTTACCATTCCCAGGTGGTTTATGACACTGTTTTACCCACATTAATCCCATTACACTCTGGTAAACATACAAAAAACTATGGAAAATTACAATCTTTAGTGGGTACCCTCTGGTAATTTAACATAGCTTTGGAAAATCACCATTTCCATAGGTAAATCCTCTATAAATGGGCCATTTTCCATAGTAAACCATGGTAAACTGTTAGTTTACTGGTGGGTAAATCAACGATTTCTATGGCCATGGCCATGGCCTTGCTGAGGTGGACCCGGACGAAAGGACCCAACTGAAGTTCAATGTGACCTTGAGCCCGGAGCTGAAAGGACGAACTGCGAAAATGCTGGGTTTTACGAACTCAACAAATAGGGATTTCATGGGATTAAAGTGATTTTAATAGTACTTCATAGGGACTCAAAATTTAGCTATTGTTTGGGGGGACTCACCTTGTACTTTGGGCCAAGCAGTTTTGGAAACTGTCAGTCCAGAGGGTAGAGATACGACTGTTGCACCGGGAGTTGGACCATGTGTCAATGCTTGTTGATGAGCTGCATCCACGAGTTCTTGCACATCTTGAAAACACAGATTCCCCCAGTTGGTTGAAGGCTTAGTTTAAGCAAAGAATGAAGACCAACCCAAGTTGTGAATCTAGAAACATGATACTTGCACGGCAACAGAAAACAAGAACATAGCATGCAACTATGGTTGGTATTTGTAGAATGTTGGGTACATGTCTAATACTCATAATTTCCCTCAAACGTTTGCAGAGTTATCAGAGTTTTTTCGGTACGTTTGAAAATTGGACATACCCCCAAGACCCCCCAAGTTATTATAATAAGTAGTAGGGAAAATGGTGATGAAAATCCATCAAAGAATCAAAATTGTTTAGTTTCTCATTTTTTTCAGGTACCAAACCCAGTCACCATATTGTTGCTTACATATCCCATTCAGTCCCACTATATATATATATAGGTGTGCATTAATAAATAATCAAATAAAACAATATATCATAGATATACATATATATATATAATTATATATGTATATATATATATGTATATATATATATGTATATATATATATATATATGTGTGTGTGTGTGTATCCATTACACCAATTTAATCCCGTTTTTTTTTTCATGTTATATATCTATTGTACCAGATCTCAGCCCCAGCCTTCAACCCCTGGCAAGGTGCCAAAGGTCATCCACAGGCCAAGGACGTCATCCCGGCTGACCTTAGGTCTTGGGGTACAGAATGGATAACTGATGGATCAAGAACAATGAGGTAATAACAATGCACTTCATATTATCCATTAAGCCAATGACACATGTTTGATTTTTTTAGCAATAATGATGATAATAATGGCAACACATAGTAACCCATAGTAATATAAGAATCAATAGATAATAATCATGTGTAATCATTCATAGTACTGTACTTCGGGATGCTTACTTGAGGTTACTAAAGAAAAATGGCTATGGTGCGGTGTTTTCGGCTATAACCCCCCATGAGTTGGGAGATGGCCCCCCCTTAACAGTTGTAGAATTTTTCATGCCCTTCTCATTAGAAAACTCGACTCGGCAACCATGATAGAAAATCCCATTAACACTAACACCTCTGTTTATACTATATTTTATACTATCGTATTACCATGTTTGATTGCCAGAGGGTTTTTTACCGACAGTCGCAATGTTCAACTGCAAATAAGAAAAGACGTCTATCAACAGGTGGCTTCGAAGCGGTCACCCCATGTCACCACTGAAAAGCTCGTGAAATGAGGAACATCCCCAGCCAGGTCAAGCTGGCTTGAAAGCGCTGTCAGCGACATACCTGGCATAGCTACCCCAATGATTTGACCTATTGGAGGCCCCCAACTGAATCAAGTAAGTGATGTGGCAAAATTTTGAGAAGTTCGGTGAAGTTCGGCACTTGTTTGCTTCAGATTACTTGTATCTTCTGCCTCCCTAACCAAAGTTCTTAACCCCATGGGTGTGATGTACAGAGACGGATCGGCGAGTTTCGTGCCGATGGTTACGTGGCATGGGATGGCTTCAGAATTTGGAACGGCCGTTTTGGTCGTGCCAAAACGGCACCCGCTGTTTGAAGATTTTGATGATCCTGTTTGATGTTGTTTGCTGCCTGCAAGCTTCCACTCGCCCGTGTCGCTCAATCAGCCACAGAAAGCATGGCCGGCGATGTTTCAACCGCCCTTGTGGGGTTGGCGTCGCCAAACTGGTTAAAAAAAAACTTGGGGGCTTCGGGATGCTTCGGGCGTTTCCGTTTCCATCCCTCATTTTGCTTGGTTTGTTCTGTCAAACTATGACTGGTTTGGTGAACATGTCATCCCTCCCGGCCAGACGTGCAGCACTGGTTGATACTGGTTGCAGCTCGGCCAGAAAAATCATGAAATCTCGGGCTGGAGGCCCATGGCATCCTATGGCTATGGAACCATTGGGGGAACCATTGACAGACTTTTTGGAAATGGGAAGATGATGGAAGATGGATCATTACATTCAATGCGGTCACCATGACCATCATGATCACGGAACTCCTGGGAAACTCTAGTTGAATGGCCCGTAGCCGTAGCTGTTTAGCAAGCCCTGCCCTGGCGCCCACGAGAAATGCCACGATTGGGGTGCCAACCTACTCGAAAAATCCCATCTCAAATGATGACTTGTAGCTCTTTAAAGAGCGCTTCTAGCCCCAACCCATCCCAACCCCCTGCTTCTTGACTTGTCTTTGATGTTGAAACCTTCCAACATAATGCAACGGACAGGCTCACAACCTCTCACAACCTTCCATAAACCAACGCTAATTAGTCAGAATACTATAAACTATGACATACTGGTATATACTAGAGAGACTGGTATATACTGGTAACATTACTGGTGACATGTGACAATAAACTCTTATCATTTGCAGAGATCAAGCCAACCGACCTTTTACAAGTCCACCCATGCTGGTAGCCCAGCAACGCAAGGTTGAGGGATATCACCCAGTTAATTACTACTGTAATCCAGTAAACTCATATGGGGGTTTCCTGAAATGGGGTTGCCCCAATAGCTGGATTGTTAAAAAAGTGGAAAATCCTAAACAAAAATGGATGATTTGGGGGTACCCCCATTTCAGGAAACCTCCACATATATAGCTATGGAAGCCACGGCTGATTTTTAGTTTGATATCTACAGCGATGTTAGTTTGCCTGCGGGCACCCAACCCCCCAGGCCCATCTAAGTACAGTACCATAGAATTGAAGTCGTTCGGACACATCTCCCGAGCTTCCTCGCTGATGGTGGAGCAAAAAGCGGGCCGTGCGCAAAGTCAAGGTACAGCATCCCAGTGGATTGGGATGTTGATTACCCTCTGGTAAACTAACATAGCAATGGGAAATCGCCATTTCTAATGGGAAAATCCACTATAAATGGTCATTTTCAATAGCTATGTTAGTTTACCAGAGGGTATTGATTGGGATGTTGATACCCTCGACCTCAGAGGCACAGTCTGCAAAAGCCAACCCAGGAATGTGGGCTATAGTAACCCCGAAAAAGATAGGATAGAACAGTAATTTACGCCACTGTTTTCATGCGGGATGTCACTTTTCACTTGTCAACCTGTCTCTTTTGGGGCTGCTATGAGCCATATTCAAAATGTCCAACCTGCGCGATGTCAGAAGCCAGGTATGCATGGCCGGAGGCGCCCTCACGGCTCTTTGCTACGCCTGCTGCCCCTTTCTCTCAGATGCTACGGCTTGGAGAATTGATGCTGGTTCAACCATGGCTCCATGTTGTGCTTTCCGACCATTTCTGCATATGTATGCACAATATATATATATATATATGTGTGTGTATACACTTATGTATATGTATGAACATGCATATATGTATATATATATATATGTGTGTGTGTTATGTAATAGTATATGTGCTTATATATGTATATTTGTTTTCCAAGACGGCTAAAAGAAAAACGCATCCAGACTCAACAGAAGACTCAATTCCGGACTCAACTTTACACGTTTTTAAGTTTGTCCATTTTTCAGCAAGTTTTCCAAGTGTTTCCTTCAAAAACACATTATGCAGTCAATTTGTTTTTTCTTGCTTTGTTTCTGAGTCTTCCGATCTATGTGATGTGTATATATATATAGTTTCTGTTCGTGTAGTATATGTAATGGATATGGTGAATACAAAGTATATAATCCATTATTCATTTATCATACCATCATATATTTACCATTTAAATCATTTACCATAAGTTAGTTTAAGTATAGTAAATCCTGTAATGTGGTTAAAACAATTATAAACCACCCGTTTGGGAATGGTTTATACCACCTATTTATGGTGAATTTGGGGTTGGATTGTTATTGGTTTAACCACATTATATATATACAATACCCTCTGGCAATTTAACAAGGTGGTCCGACAAAATTTTACAATTTATAGATCGTTCCATGATTATTCCATACTATCAATGGATTGGTTTTGTTGGGAAAAATTACTGGTTTAAGCCCCATGATCTTCATGGGAAAATCTATGGTTTCCGGTTAGGATTTTCCCGTGAAAACCAATCCATGTATGGTATATATACTAACATTGGGGGTATATTGATGGTAAATGTTACCATATATAGCATACATGGATCCTATGGGTTATTATTCCATATTAGCTTCTGAATGACACCAAGGAAGTCTTGAGCCCTCGAGAAGCGCTGGCGCTGAGTTGGTGATCCCAGGGCTGTTCTGAAAATGGTAGGATTTTATAACTTTTAACCATCAACATCCATCAAGCAATAAGGGATTTCATGGCATTTATAATGGGTTTTAATAGGGATTTAATAGGGATTTAATGGGATTCAATGGGGATTAAAAATCGGGATTTAATGGGATTTACCATCCCAAAAAACTGATATAACTATGCCCATTTAGTTTGATGATTTACCTATTACAAATGCTGAGCTCCTTAGTTTGCCAGAGGGTATCCATAACAGAGTCATGTCCATGTGGATATTCTGGGTAGCCAACAAGAATGAGGGACAAACATTAGTGATAAGACCTGTCATTTTGCTTTGCCTGGCATTTGGGGATGCTCGTTCTAGGTGGGATATGATGGGATATGATAGGCTTTGTAGTGGGAATTTCTACGGGCAATGTATTTGGTATGATTTTGATAATGTTGTATATCATAAACTATTTGGTGGTGAATGGAGGGGGCGGTTCGGAGATAGTATATGGGGAGTTTCCATGAGTTTCCCATACCACATGATAGCACATGAATATTCATTTGAAGGAAGAATGTCTTGGCAGATGTCCCATCCAGAATTGGTTGCGGGCAAGTTTATTGTTTAGACATGTTTGGAACAGAACCGCCTGCAGTATATTATATAGCTGAAGAATTCCCTCCGGGAATCAAAGGTGGCAGAGGGAAATCTCCCGTAAATGAATATGTTCATGGGAAATTCATCGAACCCAATTGTGGGTTTTCCATGGCCACATTTGATGACCGGATATCAATTAATCTCCCAGTAATATCCCAACTAAAATCACACTATAGATAGAATGAGAAAAGTGAAATAAATCCATTATATCACACAACACATTCCATTATTATCCACTTTTTTCTCCACCCATAGTAAATCCCAACCATAGACGTTTCAGGTTTTTTCATGTTTTTCCCCCCCTCAACCAAGTCATTCCATGACACTTGGCTGCGAAGGTGTCACCGTTTTACTGGCCATTGCAGCGCTGACACTTGGCATTTTGTTACCCATGAAATGACCAACTGGGGGAATTTGGGGGAATGGCCGGCCCAGTCGAAACGTTAAAAATGTTTGCGAACTGGAAGCCATGGCCCAGTCGAAATAGTGAGTTTTCCCATGAAAAATGCCACTGGGTGGATTTTCCAGTTCGTTATGTAAACGCTTACCAGAGGGTAAGCATCCTTCAAGCAGCTACTTTAAGGATTTAAGGGTGCCGTTTGGGTACCAGGGTTTGGAGCACCCATTCTATTTCATCATAAGTGGAAGAAAAGGCCAGGCGTCGGAGCAAGGAAGGGACCACCAAATTTTCGAAAGTGACCCAGGCTGGCTGATGATGTGGAATATGTGGATTGTTTCGATCGTTTCCACATGTTTCCACCATTTTCTACCGATGAGAATGCCAAGTGACTCATGTGAAATTCCCGGGTCAACTTGTCACCAGTTCCGAATGCATCCAATCTGAGGCTGTTCCGGTTGGCCAGTGGGCAGAACATCCAGGTGCCGTTGGACCCGTTGGGCCATGGAGATTTGCAGATTTGGGCCATCAATGTCCAGGAGTGACATGTGACCTGGCATGGTACTGTATATATCTGTATATGATTATATGATATGGGAGTTGTGGCTATACCATATTTAGTGAGAAAAAAATACCAGACTAAGCACCAGGTGCAAAAAAATGTCAGGTGTCCCTATTAATGATCCTTCTGTTTCGAGGTTGCGGCATGACCTGATGGTCAGTTCCTCGCAAGGTGATGCTGAGGTTGAGGTTTTTGCAAGGAACATGGTCAAACTATGTGAAAATACCCTTTGGCAACGTGGCAATGAAACACTTCACCATTTCCAAAACTGGCTGATTTTCGTCTCAAAGCCTCAAACTGGCCACCGCTGAGCCTTAAATTCATATTTCACCAACAAATTCGCAGGTAATCAATGATTTATAGATTGATCTCTTTGGAGGGATACCGGTATGCATATATATATATATGATATGCATACACACACATTTAGATAAAATATGGAAAAATTGGATTAGAATAGATGAAATCAGATCAGATCAGATTAGATAGGACGATTTGATATTAAATATTAGATGTTAGATCAGATATATGATATTAGATATCAGATATTGATATTAGATATTAGACTTATTAGACATTAGATATTTGATATTAGATATTAGGATTAGTTTCATGTCTTCATTTTCTCTCTGGGCTGCCCGCTCCGATCAGGTCGAGTTGACCCGTTGGTCCAAGGAAGACTGGCGAGAGTCCATCTGCTTGGTAACACAGGTGGGGAGACCGTCACGATTTCTGAACGTTGGTAACGAAAGGCTTCACCAAAAAATGGGGGTGATGGTACAGAAATCAGTTGTTGAATGTTGTTGCAATGAGAATCGTGGTATAGTGCGGGGTTGCTTGAAGAAATGAGTTGTTTAAGCAACAAGAACGGTGGTATAGTGGGGATAATATGGGATAGAAATGGATATAATGGGGATATACATGGATTTTTATGGTAACGATCTCACTTGGGACGCCACTGTTTCTATTATGATGTTTAGATATGTTTAGTATGGGTAACTACTGTATCCCAAAATAGCCTCTTTTCAAAGGTTTTGTGAATTGACAACAAATTTGTTCAGGTCTATTGGGTCTTTGATGATTGGTGGTCGCATCCAGGAAACCGCTGGTTTTCACCATCAAGATATGGAGGTTTCCTGCGCACTGGGATCGCATGGAAGCAGCGCCAGGTGGGGATCGAATACACCGGTGACTGCAATCTGCACGACGACAGGTTGCCGTTTGATTATGGCAAATGGCCTCCGGTGGCTGGGCTGAAATGGATGGAAATGGTGCGGATGGGTGTCGAATGTGGGTGTAAAACTATGTCATAAAGATTCATAAAGCAGCCATGACTGGGAATGGTTATGGTTTATAGCACCTATGTTTATATCTATTTAAATAGGTGAACAAATCGGGGATGGTTTATGATTGGTTTAGCCACGGCACAGCCACGGCACATGACGCCATCTCCATAGGATGATGAAGGTGAAGTCGCGTCGCGTCGCCGGCTAGCCGTACGGCCAAGGTGAAAAAAAGCAACGCTGAGCCTTGGCAGATAGCAGCCACTGGCTTGGCAGCAGCCACTGGCCACCTGAAATGAGCAAAGCGACGGATCATGGAGATCATGGAGATCATGGCAACATATGGCAACCTTGCATCAAGCATGGTTTCCACGGAACATGATTACCCCATACATCACCATAATTCACCATAGGATTGTATAGATTTTTAATGGGACCCATTATCTGCATCGCTGTTGGTGAATCCCACTGGTTTAGGCACTCGAAGTGTGGAAGAAAAGATGTCCTGCTAGGTCAAAATCAACAGAAGTTAGCCTTTTGGCAGGTTTGCTGGGGATACACTTGCCAAAATGTAGCCATAAAATCAGAAGATGTGCCTTGCCAGATCGTGCAAAGAGGCTCAACCCCCCGCAAAAAAAACTCTGGCAACTTCCAACTTTCCAACTTTGTTCCACCATTTCGACGCCACATGTCTGCAGTTTCTTCTTGTAAAAACATATTTAAAAAATACATGTTTTTTGTTCACCTCCAGTTGCTCCACATCCTTAGGAGGCGCCAGACTATGACTACGCAGAGTGCCCTAAGGCCGATCTCCGATCCTATCAAAAGTATACGGTGCTTTCACCAGTTGTGAGGTGGGGATTTTTCACATCAAAAACGACCATCGATTTCATTCTTAATTTCTGATTGTAGGGTTCCGTTCGAAAATCAGTGGTACGGATCCGGGTACCATAGTGGATCCGGTACGGAACCGGAGGAATACGAAATGGTGACATCATGCCATGATTCTCCCATGGCATGATTGACCAAAAAGCTATGAAAGTCATCTGTTGTGAGGCGTATTTGAATGTATTTGAGGCTAGTTTGATGGCACTTCAGCAGGAACACTAGTTATCTAATGTTATCTATTCCTGTTGCTGACATCGAATGACATTTTCCTGATGCTTGGCTGAGACTTTTGCATGAGAAGCCATGAAGATGGCTGATGTCACTGATGTCCAATCCCGATTTGACATGTTTTCCTGTATGGACCCCACGAAAAGCCAGGCACAAATAAAAAGTGTTGACATTCATCCGTCAGATCCCACTCATGGTGAGTCCCCGATCCCTGGAGATTTTGTGGATATGTTTTTCCGCGGGTCAAACAACACGCAGCATGTTCTAGGTCCAAAAATAATCAAGCAGATAAGTAGAATGCCATCTCCCCTGGTTCTCTTGGAGTTGGTTCCTCTGCCTAGGCGCTGACATGCTCTGTTGCTTGCCTGGAACTGGCGGTTTCAGAAGTCCTTGGATCATCCAGAGTGGAGGAATTAATATGTTGGTGTTGGATTTCGCAGCATTCCAGGGATTGTCCACCTCGCCGACTCTTGATCAGCGAAATCAGGAATGCACATGGTCAGCTTTCAAAAAGGGTGTGTCTTGAGGATCCATCGGATGGTGCTGGTGAAGAAATGTGAAGAATGCGGAGGATGGTAATGATGGTAATTAATCGAAGTTTTTTAATATGCGGGCAAGTATTTCAGAACAGGCTGACATGATCCACACATGGAATAATATGGAATCATGTGTTCACATTACTGTGTTTGGCTGGGAATGGCGTAACATTTGGTGCTCGTAGAGCTTGAGTCATTTTCTGTTGACAGCTTCGGATGTTCAGGAAACCCTCAAGAAACCAGCCAAGCTCAATGACTCTTGAGTGAGTCAGAACAACTTGAAGCTTAGATGGCAGGAGACTATTCTTCGGGTAGTGTCACACGCCCCCCAGGAACTGTATAACTATAAATGTGTAGCTCGCCCCCCAAATGTGGGTCGATGGTAGGTGAACATCCCAAAGAATGTGTTAAATTTTGGCATGCACCAGGGCACAAAGTGTTTGACCCACACATCCATTCCCTAAACATGTTCCATAAGTTTTCCAGAATTGAATTATGGGAACATGTTCAAGCAAACCCTGGAATTAACAGTAAAAACAATGGTTTCCTGTGGAAAAACCCTTCGAATCCATTGAAAGTTGGGGGAGCCATGATCCATGCTGTGCTGTCGTTTACGGCACCTGATCCTGGCTGCTGGCTGTTTGATTTGCGCTCAGCTCGGAGTCCAATTTCTTTGGGCATGGAGAGTGGAAGCAAAAGGAGCAGACCCAGGGAACACCAGGCCGGGCAGAATAAATGGACCATTTGTTTATAATTACGCTCTAGTTATTTAACATGGCCATCGAAAATGGCCCATTTATAGATGGTTTACCTATTAACAATTGTGATTTTCTATGGCTATGTTAAATAACCAGATGGTATATGTGTATACGTGCCATGCGGTAATTTGACATATGGACAATTGCTCATTTAGTTCCATGATTTATCGCTTTAAAACATGATGCTTTTTCATAGCTACCTCACATTTCTAGAGGGCATTTCGTTTCTTTGACCCCTAGTTTTTTCTTATTATATATTTATATTTTCCTTGGGAAGGCCGCCCTTAGGATTTCCAGACCTTCCCCAAACAACCACAACCAGGACCCTCCTTGGCAACGCCACGCGCCCCATGGAACCCATCGGAGCCGTCGCGTCAGCATCCGCTGCTTCGGTGCTGCTCCTGGGTCCGGGGCCCACGGGTCCCATGGAGCCCAGCTCCGAGAGCTCAGAGTTGCTGCGGAACGTGGCCTTGGCACTGCAAGGCTTGGGCTTCCAGGTGCGTGTGCTGGGCCCAACTGATGGGCCGCTGCAGGAGTTGAGGAAGGTGGGCCTTGAGGCCGCTTGGAAATTGATGTCCCATGTGCTTTTCATTTGTTTTGGGGGTGGGGGGAGGAAGATCACCGGAAGCAAGGTTATTAGTTTGTTTTTGGTATGTTTTGGTGATGTTTGGAGACATCAGCACAGCTGTAAGGCGCAGGTTTGCCAAGGTCTCCAGAACCTGGCACTGGGAAAGGAACAGCTGAGAGGGGATGACAGCTTGCAGAGCCTGATTTCGCTGAAGTGCCATGTTGATAGGACCCAAATGTTCATGGTCTTCGGTGACGTTTGGGCCTGGGCTATCGCCAACCACCGAAAGGATGACGCCGGCAAGTTGTTGTGGTTCTTGTTTCCACTGGATCGCTGTAAGGGTCTGCAGCCTGATGCTGTGACCCAGCGTGCTCTTGCCTTGGCGGATCATGTGGTTTTCCTTACTGCTGAAGAACGCTCGGCTTGGCAACAACCCAGTTCATCCAAATTCCATCTCTTCCGACCATTTCTGGATGTTACTTGGACTTGAATGAAGTTCTGTCCACATCCAGCACCCGATGATCCGATGGCCACTAGCACTAATTAATGACACTACACATGTGGAATGTATATAAATGGATTTAATACTTGTTCATGCAAACAAGACCAATAGATTGCAATCCATCTTATCTGCACTCTTATATAATGCTGTATATAATAACTAAATATTAAATATTCTTGTGACCCAACGGGTCCAGAATTGGAAGTTAGTGTTGGTTTCCCAGATCAAACCTGCGCTTAATCCACCTTTCGCATCCTTTTGCAAGGTTGATAGACTCCATGGTGACAACGTGTCCGGAAAATTCACAGTGACCTTGGAGACTTGCTGTGATGTTCTGCCAGACTACGGACAGATTCAAAGCGCTCTTTCTGAAAGATTTGGCGTCAACTGGTTGTTGGTCGTCCTTGCGACCTGCGGGATCTCACTGGGCAAGTTCCCCAGGCAACATGTCCTGTTGATCAACGACAAGGACCTGTTTTATCAACACATGCGTGGCGCCAATCTGTATGTACAAGTCTCAGATAGTCTCAGTGCAAAGACCCGTGCTCCGTTGAATGGCGAAGTGGTAAACAAAACCAATAGCTCCCGTTTCCGATTGTCACAAGAAATGTCTACACCAAGTGACCTGCAAAACACATGGGCATTGCATCATCAGGAAAGGATTCACGTCGCCACTTCCATTGTGAAATGAACGTAAGAGATTCTGACAGGATTTTAGAGCGGCTTTTTTTTTTGTCGTCTCCGGTGACTTGAGAGACGCATCAAGTTTTTGGAAAGGCAACCAACCATGTAGGAAACATATGGAAATATATAGTGTATTCACTATGCAGCCACTCAAGCCATAGTACAAAGGCTGGCTTCACTTACACGCCCCGTTTCAAGACCAGTATCCCGGGTATTTCCCACGAGAGCCGTATCAATTGTGTGAGCCCTACCCTCCCTTTGTATTCCACAATTGGCTGAAACGGGTTTTGGAGATTGCAGCCCGTTCTGTTGGGATTTTCAGCTTTTTGCTTCGGAGTTGTGTGTGTACAATCATCACCACAAAAGAATACAGCAGATATCGAAAGATTACACTTTTGGCCAGAGCATCAAAAGAGCAGCAGGCTAGTTCTTGCATGCTATACTGGTAGCAACCTTCAAATAGATAGGACGGTCAGAAACCTGGAAATTATTTTGGAAAATGCAGGAATCATCATTTTTGTCACATCCTGGGAACACGACATTCCATCTCAGATCCTGAGGTCAGCTTGGTCCCCTCCGGACCTTCCCTGAGCATCGCCTACGCTTCCTCCCTTGGCATCCCAAGCTTGGCCACCTCCCATGATCAGCTGCTGAGAAATGGCGGGGATGGCTACTTGCTGCCGCCACAAATGTTGCCCCAATTCTTGGCCAAGATCACGACCTCGGAGCTTCGAAATGTGGGAGAAATGGGCTTTGCTTTAGAAAGGCTTTCTTTCTTTCCTTTTTTTGAAGTTGAAGTGAATGCACCATTTCTATCTGTTTATAACAAAAAAAACACTAAAACAAGCGCTGGGATTTGGGATGTGCCATGTGTTTTCGGTCGTATAAATCAGCAAACTCCCAGGCTTTTCCGCGCGAGAATCCAGTCACCTCCGTTTCAGTCTGGCTGCGGGACAGACGAGGTTGGGCTTCTTGATGGATTCGCTGGAGGAGAAAACGCCGCGTGGGACGCGTATCGCACTGTTTCTGCAGATGCATAATGCTAGTTTGTGGTGGTCCTTGTGACTCGCTGGTTAATGTGCATGCTTTCAGTCGTACATTTGTTCTATTTTGTTCTTCTTTTACACTTCTCAGATCTTTTCAGCGTATATAATTATAATAATTCAATTATAGGGATTGACCACGCTACCAAGAAAGGTGCCACGGCCCATCGCAATTCTTCTGACGACCCTGCTTTTCGTTGCTTTGGGACCGTTTTTGTGACTTCCAAGGGAAAAAGCTTTCACTTGCAGAGGGATTGCCAGCACATTGTTGGCAAAAAATTGCCTACATTCTACTGCTGCAAAAGTTGCATGAAACAGTTTCCTTCCACCTCCGAAAAGGATGAATGACGATGAATTACAGGGCGAAAACCCTACAAAATGGCCCTGGGAAAAAGGCAGTTGACGCTGAGGCTTGACGAGATAGATGCTTTACAAAATGGCTCTGGGCTTTTTAAACTTTTTATAAGACCATGATTGCACTGGTTTGATCATTTTTTGACAAAATTGTCAAAAAGGGTTGTGGATCAAAATCATCATAATCATCCAATGCAGTTGACAGGCAGTACCATTTTGTAGAGCCAGGGTTTATGGACATACCATTTTGGAGAATGGGCGCCACAACATGCCGCAACCATTTTGTAGAGCAAAAGGCTAGATCTCTACAACATGGTCCACTGCAACCCCACCCATGGAATGGCAAGGGGGGTGATTGATGGTGGTAGAGTGTTCCTAGAGGTTCGGGAAATAACCTCCATCCATCAGTCATTCTGTTCCATCACCACTAGTAATCCCCAAGATGCACAAAACCTAAATTTGCAACTTTTTTGAAGAGAATTTTGCAATAGGTTGCACAAATTTCGCTTCAATTTGCATCTTGGGGGTTGCTACTTCCAGCATTTCTATTTTCTCGCTTGTTTTTCTACAAGTCATGAACTCTAAGTTGGTAACTAGGGTTTAGAGTAGTCATAGATTGCCAGCGTACCCCCCCAAAGCCCCCCCCCCAAAAAAAAATCATTATTTTAGCCAAAAAGGAAATAAGACAGGAATAAGCTTAATTTCGTGCAAAACAACGGCAACCTTATTCCAGCCTTAATTCAGATTTGCAATAACGAGACAGACCCCGTGGTTTGCCCAGACTGCAACATTGAGGGTTCCCTATCGTCGAACATGAGAAGAGAAATTGCAGAAAATACTGCGTATACGCAGTGTCTTCTGCTTTCGGATTCAGAGTTTTAGGGTTTATGGCTTTAGGGTTTTAGGGTTTAGGGTTCGTCGTCTGGTAAATACCAAAACACTAGCCCTGCACAGGTGTTTGAGCATGTCAAAGGAATTTGAACTCCATTCTAACCTTGCGGGCAAACCATAGGGTCTTGCCGTAACAATTATATAAAACATTAATTATATATATATACACATAGACATACATATCAATGTACATATCATGAGATGTATCATGATATATCTATGTTTCATAGTAACCACACAGGCCTTCAGGCCCTGAAACCCAGAGGTCCTCCTGCATCGAAAACGTCCTGTTGGCCGCGGCACCCGGCCGCAGCGTGGACCTCTTCGTCATCACCACGTCCCAGGCCAACGCGGCGACGCTGCGGAGCCTTGCGGAGGGCCTGAGGAAATTTGCAGCGCTGAGATATGTGGTGGTGGCCTTGGGAGCCAACAAAGGTGCTGTGCTGGGCTGGGAATCTTTGAAAATGTCATGGTGTAAAATGTGTAAAACATCATGAAATGATGTGATTATAGATGTAGAATGGTGTGGAGATTTATATTTGATATTTATAGATAGATATGTTTTTGTCAAACATGTTTTTTTTAAATGAATCGTACTTTATGTGGTTCTATCAAATATTCATCGATTCATTGTTGGGTGGTTCAATTTCCCTTAAAATCCATCCATTGCACCAAATTTGAAGATCATGTTCCCATGATATTCCAATTATGTACCCATACTCATGTGTCCTATGATCTCTGTGTTAAATCGCTATATATCAGCCATTTTGACCGATGAAATCCGGGCAACAAAAATGGTGGCTGAAAGTCATTCGAGGTGCAGACATCGGCCTCTTCCTTCAGCAGTTGCTCCTCAACGTGGATTTGCAATTGGAGGTTGGTCCAAAAAACCACCGATTTAATTGAAGTTTAATGAAACCATGTCATAAATGACCCGGATTGATGGTTTATACCACCCATAAAAATTGTGATTTTGAAAATGGGTTACTATTTCTTGACTCTAATTATGTTTAGTATGAATCATCCAACCCTAGAAGTGCCCAATATTTCAGCCATAGCCATATGCAAAACTAACCCACTTCTTCTGGACTCATGCTTGACCCTTTGATAGTTTTTCTCATAGCTGCGAAAAATCACAACTTTTAAGAACGGTAAATCATCGATCTAAATGGGCCATTTTCCGTAGCTATATCTTAAAAATCCGGAGGGTGTATTTTTTGAAATGAACGGGAACTAAAGAACAGAAGTTAAAACTGAACAGAAACCATCTCAGCGGAGGTGGATCTCGTCTTCAAACTGCACAGCAAGCGGAAGGAGCTCTGGCGCAGTCTGCTCGTGGACTCCTTGTGCGGCAGCGTAGAGGAGGTGAAGAGAAACGTGGAGGCCATGGAGAGGAGCCCCAACATCGGCAGCTGGGATCCCGGTGAAGATGAACCAAGGGTTATGAAAAGACCTAAGTTGAAACATCCTGAAACATTTGGGTTATGAAAGAACTTAACTGAGTCACTGAGTCGCTTTTTTGGGGGGGGAGTTGGCTTTGGCATTTTTTGGGGGTGAAGTTGTACAAGAAGTGGATGGGAGGTGGGTTGAATGATTTGGGGCCGTGGAGAATGGGCTATATATGATGGTGCATGCCACCCAAATATTGCAATGTCAATTGGGAAAGTGACCGCAAGCCAGTGGATTTAAGATTATTTAGGGACATTCTACTTCCAGACAAACCCAAATACTGGCAGGGGCAAGATCAAAACCCAGACGCAGAAAAGCATGTAGTGTTGTGTATTAGCTCGGTGATGATCCTGGATACCCTCTGGTAAACTAACATAACTATAGAAAATCACCATTTTCAATGTGTAAATCAACTATAAATGGGTTATTTTCCATAGCTATGTTAGTTTACCAGAGGGTAGTTTAAGCGGCCCAGAGAACCAACGGTCCCAACGGTGCTACAGCGAAAACTCATGGGACTGAGGCATCATCGGACCCTCCAAGTTGACCTGGGGCCCGGATTCGCAGTCCTTCATTGAACTGAAACTGAAAAAGAAAGGCTTCAATGAAGTGGCCTTGCGAGGGATGAACACCACCTGGGCCGTGCTTGACACGGGTTCCAAGTTCCCAAGCAGGAGCCGAGCAGGGTAGCAGATTAGCCGCTCTTCGTGTGACCAAGTTGTGATATAAATAAATAAGTAAATAAATAACTATATATATATGGGATATCCCAGACAGTGGGAGTTACTAACTAGGCTTACTAAGCAATTACTACGTAGATGCACAGCCAAGTGGAGAGAACATCATTCATTTCTTTTTTGGGCCTCTTAAGTCATCTTTAAAAAAATCGCTGACAGTCTAGCACAGCCATGTTATACCGCCATTGCAGTTTCATTCTCCCACTTCAAGCGATTTTGCAACCCACGTCGTAATGTCTAACAGAGCCCTATCTCAGCCATACATTAGGCAACTGCATATTTTTTGTTCTCCTGCTGCCCGTCATCTGAGCCAGTTAACAACCCCAGTTAACAACCTCCCACAAAAAAGCAGGAAACGCCAACTATAAACTCAAACCCGTGATAAATTCCTACTTAGCCAACATCACTCAACATCACTTCACATCACATCACTCAACACTAAACACCATGACTCATGACGCCCAAAAAACAGGAAGTATTGGATCATTTGCGCCGGCAGCTTCTTCTGGCTCCGGGCCTCCTTCATCTCCTCCTGGCGTTCCACGATCCTCCCCGCCATCCCCCGACTCCTGGCCCTCTCCGGGAACTATTCCACGGGCTGCGACAAGGCGAAGCCTGGCGCCATGGAGGGAAAGTTCCGGCTCGTGAAAGATGAGGTTGATAAGTATGTTATATAAGTAGCATAATGTGGTCAAGAATTGTTAATAGTTGGTGGGCAATAATTGGGTTAAGAATGGTTAATGACTAGTTGATAATGCTTAAGAAGTTACAATCATGGAATATCATGGAATATCATGGACCATGGGATACTTGGTGCAGATATTTAATGGGGATACCCGCCGGCAAAAACAAAAGTGGCGAACTAAATGGAGGTTTCCTTCCGTGGGAAAATTGTCTAAATGCGGCATTTTCCATTGCTTGTTTGATTGCCGGAGGGTGAATTTCAACTAATATATAAACTACAGATACATGATGATAAATGATAAGTTTCTAAGTCATAATGTATAATTTGGATTACTCTATTATATTTTTGTGATGTCCAATTGATATGATAAAATCCGCGTTTCTGTTTAACATCTAGTTTCAAGACTTCATCGGTGCCGTTGGCATTTAAAATTTTAGTTTCCACTAATGGTTGATTAAAGTTCCACAAGGGAATGGGGCTTGGGCACAGACTCGTTGGTAGTTTCAACTATACTTTAAGTTACTGATTTCTACCTAATTTGAGTTGGTTAGTTGATTTATTATGTTGGCTTTGATTAGTTGATTTGACTTATTTGGACCATCTACCGGGCCAGTCATGGGTGGAAAGTTTTTGTTGCAGAATTGGGTGTTCATTGGCCCCAAAAGAAGGTTTGAGAGAGGCGTTGGGTGATCCCTCAGTTGCCAGTTTCATAGTGATTGTGCCCTTTGGTAATCAAACATGGCAATTGAACATCCTTTGTCTACTTGAAGCCCTATTCTAGTGCGAAAATCATCGAACTAAATGCTGGGTTTTGCAGCAAGCCAGTAGGATTATTGCCAGAGGGTAAATCCTCGAAGTTCGGATTGTTTCTCACAGTTTCCCATTCCTCCGACTTTCGTTCTCACATTTTTCCACATAGGCGTTGAACCATCCCTAAGTTGCTATCGTTTCATAGTCATACAGGCAAAAACCCTCCCAACAATCCTATGTTGTTTTTTGTTGTTTTTAGTTTTCCATCTTTTGCACTTTTTGCAGGTTATGATATGTTATGATCACCTTAGAAAGCCACTAAATTCCATTCAACAGCCATGAGATCAGCATTCTTTTCTCTCATAGAATTGGATGATGGGAAAATTTACAGGAAACCATAGATTTTCCCATTAAATATGGGGTTTTCCTGTAAATTTTCCCAACAAAACCAATCCAGTGATTCTCACATCGTGGACCAGTCGTTGACCAAGGAATGTGACCAGCTGTTTGTTGGCCGTTGGCCTCGAAAGGGTGCTACCCACCTTGATCAAAGCATCAGGGGGCCGCGTGGTGGAAGCCGCAACGCTAAGAAGTCCCAAATGACACGGATCAAATCCCGCGGATGACAAAAGATGGACATGTACAAAACGATATGTTTGTTGAATGTTGAATGTTGGATTATTACTTTCTTTGGTTGTGATTATTGGTTGATAGCAACCCCGCCCCCCCACCATAATGGGAATGGCATTTATTACTATATACTATATAGTTGCATTCTCAGGGGAACTTTAATGCAACGCTATATGTTCCATTGGGGTTTGGAATGTTTTCGGAAAAGGAGGGATCAATGGATTCTTTCATAGCAACTTTCCAAACATGAGGAAACCCATTACAATGTACAGGATGTTTTAGCTTTAGAAAATTTGAGGGGGAAAAAGATTGAACATACCACTATTTCATTAGGGTTGTGTTTTCTATTTATGTCAAGGGGCCACTGTATTTTTTTAAAATCTATATCCCTTCATCTAAATCTTGTAAAGAAGATGCGGGCAGAAAACAATTGGGTTTAACTTGGTTTAAGCAGTGAAAGATAGTTTGGGATTCACAGCGATACCTGTGGAAACTGGCTGGTGAAAAGTGAAACATGGACACGCCACCCAAATCGTCATATTGTTGGGCCAATTCTGATCCAAAGGCTTTCGATCCATCCAAAATTGCCAGCTTTGGATGTTGGTTTTTGCAGTTCTAGTGATGCTACCCTCTGGTAAACTAACAGTTTGCTATTGAAAATGGACATAGAAATAGTGGATTTACCCATTAAAAATTGTGATTTTCTATAGTTTTTTGTATGTTTACAACATAGCTATTGAAAATTGCCATTTATAGTGGATTTACCCATAGAAAAATGGTGATTTTCCATAGTTATGTAAACGTTTACCAGAGGCTATCTCCACAGAAAGGTGCAACATATCGGGCCCCATTCATCAGGGCCCCCTGACAGGTAACTGGGAGGATCTGAAATATCAATGAAACACATTGAAAACCCGTATTTTTCACATTCGCCATTAGCAAATATTATAGAACCATTATATAAGCATTATTAACCATTATGTAACCAATACATAAGCATTATTAACAATTATTAATTATTATATAACCATGATTAACCATTATTAACCATTAAATAACCACTAGTAACCATTATATAGCCATTATTAACCATTATTAGCCATTATATGACCGTTATTAACCATTATTAACAATTTTTAACCATTATATAACCAGTATTAACAATTTTTAACCATTATTTAACAATTATTAACAATTATTAACCATTATTAACCATTATATAACAATTATTTACCATTATATAATCATTATGACTAATTTTTAACTATATATAACCATTGTATAACCATAATTAACAATTATTAACCATTATATAACCATTATTATCCATTATTAACCATTATTAACCATTATTCACCATTATATAACCATTATTAACCATTATATAACCACTATTATCCATTATATAACCATTATATAACCATAATTAACAATTATTAACCATTATATAACCAGTATTAAGCATTATTAACAATTATCTAACCATTATTAATCATTATTAACAATTTTTAACAATTATATAACCATTATTAACCATTATACAACCACTTTTTTATCATTATTCATCATTGTTGGGGAAACAATCATAAATCCAGCTCGTCTTTGGGGTAGTTTACATGGACCCATTTTATTGAGAGGGCTGGTTGAATGGCCAACCTTGGGTAATCAAACAGGGCTTGCGGGAAAATCACCCATTTGGTTCCATGATTCTTTCAATAAACACGTTCATCTCTTGGGGATTTCCCAGCCATGTTTGATTACCAAAGAGTTCCCATTAAATATCCCGTTACTAGCCATTAACCAGTGTGAACCATTGTTAACCATTGTTAACCATTGTTAACCATTGTTAACCATTGTTAACCATTGTTAACCATTGTTAACAAGGTAACAATTATTAACAATCATTCACCATGATTAGCAAGGGGAGAGAGAGAGAGATAGATAGATAGATATATATATACTGTATATATATATATATACATTTTAATTACAATTATTAACCATTAAGTATGACAGTATTACAGCCATCATTAGCCATGATGCACCAATGGGAATTCCAGGATCCTAAAATGGAGGTACTGTACCAAATAAAGCCATATTGTGGGGGTTCCCCTTACATAGCCCTTACAAACTTGTAGGCCTTGTATATGGTAGGTACCTGACGTGGCCATTGAATTATTATTCTATGCTTTGATTAATCGTTATGATGGTTCATTAACCATTATTAGCATCTATAAACCACTATGGACAGTTATTCACCATTACATTAAGCATTATTAAACATCGTTATTCTATATGCAACCAACTTTGGTGTCCCGCACCCGAGGCGGAGAGCCCCGCAGTTCCCGAGCTTGCGGTGCTCACAGCACCGCCCCGGCAGGGGATCAACATGCCGAGGCTTCGCGTGATTTTTTTTTCATCATAAATTACTATGCAATCCCAACCGGAAGGGGTTGCAGTTTGTTTTGGGGGGGTTGTGGATTCGAACATTGCTTCTATAGTTCATGTATTTTCTTGCGCAATGGGATGTTGATCCTCCAATGACAAGATTTTGTATGGGTTGAAACTCCCCAAAGGTACCCCAGCATGGCGTGTCAAGTGGCCCCATTGTCCTTTCAGGGGGATGGATTTCAAGAGTCAAGAATCCAATGAAGTGACAAATGCCGGGTATATGTGTTATAGGTGCAGTGAACATCGGTCCAAAAATTCTACGCAGGTATAGTGAAATGGCCAGGCAAAGCAGAAGCATCGTTGGATATCACCCCACGGGCCCGCGGGCACCGGGAACATCAGTCGCTCAACCAAGGGATACAACCTACAGGATTGCTAGGTGCTATGAGTTTACCATAGTTAAGCCATCCCCAAAATAAATTGAAGGAACCGTTTCCATTTTTTGACTCTTCCGCATCTTCATGTTCCACTAAGAGTTCGACCTGCAGTCAGGCGGACTGCTGAATATCTACAATGGAACCCTGACAATTTCCGTCTTGAATCCCGTTAAATTGGAGATTTCACATCTATAGTACACCCCGAAAGAATTGATTAAAAAAAAAAATAGACAAGGTGAAATGATTGCATAGTTGGATTGTCCACTTTTCTGTATCTTTTTGGAGTGCGAAATCTACCAGTTCTACCTGGGCATGCCAACCATCGTTGCAGGTACAACCTAGTGGCGTGTCACAATAGTTGCTTGGACGCAGTCGTGGGTCGTTCTGGATGCTGGCTGGATCTGATGGTGGAAACTAATAAGGTGTTCTAAGTCATCATAGTCATCGGGGTACTCCCAGTTATCATCCAAGTCACGGATGACCATGACTTAGTATTGAATCAACCATGGTGACTTGCGGACCCTCAATTCGAGAAATCTTTATTTGAACTGGAACTGGAATAGTTTTTTCTTTGTGGTAACAGTGATTCGTTATATTCTTTTCGCGGCATGTTGTTCAGCCATTACATCCTCCATGCACATGGATCATCAAGGATTTCATGATACACCAATGAAATGCTCATGTCAAATCGATGTCAATTGTGGGTAACAATGGTTTGGACATCACACTACAACTGAATATGACGGAATCACATGTTTTGAACCTAGCAAAGTCAATTTTCCATGATTTTCCCAAGTCTTTGTATTGCGATCAGGCGCCTTCCCCAAACATGTTCCCATTCACCTGTCGAAATATCCTGATCCTGGCATTCGGATTGTCCACAGTTTCCTCTCGATTTTCCCAGAAATCATGATATACCTTGCGTCAGGAACCAAAAAAAAACAGGATAGATAGAATAGGTAAAGTTGGGAAAATCTCCGGAGTTGTTTTATTTTTTTTTAATCACCAAACCACTCAAGATCAGCCCGGAAAACCACCGACCTTGGTGACGTCGTTGAGGTTTTTTGCCCTGGGCCAGTGTCGAAGTCGTCCCAGGTCTGACCCGGGAAGCTGATGCCATAGGCCATAGGTTTCATGTGGAATCTGAAAACTGGTTGGTGGTTTGGAACAGCCCTGGCTCAGTGAATTTTTGCTGACCCTTGGGAAGGACAGAGGTTTTCGAGCATCTAGTACTGGTTGGTGGTTTGGAACATGTTTTATGTTTCCATATATTGGGAATAACCATCCCAATTGACTTTCATATTTTTCAGAGGGGTAGGTCAACCACCAACCAGAGTATCATCTAGCTATGAATATCAGCATGGCTTGAATCTTTGACCAGATATTCAATCAAGTCGTCGTCGAACTCAGCCTGCCAACCGTTGCTTTGAGGCAAACATACGGATCGTTTTTTCAACTTGTGATACGTTCAGACATTTATTTTTGTTGCTTGTACCCCCTGGTAAACCAACAGAACTATTGAAAAACATATCCATTTTGATTTTGATGGGTAAATCTTCTATAAATGGGCCATGTTCCAGAGTATGAGGTCTCAATAGGTTGAGCCATGGATGGATGGATGGATGGATGGATATACCCACTTTGCACGTCCACCGCAGCTAAGGCAGTCACACTAGCCATGGTGCAGCGGGGCCAGGGAGCCTGAATTCTTCAGATTGTTTCTCGGGAGACGATGTTGGTGCCTCTTTTTCTTTTAACAGCAGCATGACATATTTATAATTTAAAACATGTGTTCTTTTCCGAATGTGCAGTGTGTTTTTTCCACCAGTTTCTTCCATGTTCTTTTTTTTTCCCTCAGGATATCCCCATGAGACCATGATCATATGGTTCATAAACCATCCAATTTTTACAATGGTTTCCTTGCTGAAAACATGGTTCAAACTTTGAAGCCGTGAGTTTCACCTGGCCGCGGGCAAACTACTCTCTGGTTATTTCACATACCCTCTGGTAAACTAACATAGCTATGGAAAATCACAATTTTTCATGGGAAAATTCACTATAAATGGTGATTTTCCATAGTTATGTTAAATTCCCAGAGGGTAACATAGCTGTGGAAAATCAGTAATTTATAGCTAAACCATGACAACGAATCTATAAATGGGCTGTTTTCCAGAGCTATTAATAAATCCCCAGAGGGTAAGTACAACTGTGTTACAACTGTGGCCATAAAAAGTGCGGCATTGGAGAAGGAGGTTAGGCCCCAAAAAAATCCGTGACGACCGTGACGGGACTGGAGAACGAGGTTTTGCACCAAATAACTTCTGCGGCTCACACACATAAAATATATGTATATAACTATATATGTGTGTGTGGAACATCTGGATAGATGTAAAACTTCCTTCTTCTTTTTTCTTCCCTCTTCTCCCTTTTTAAATAATGCAGGGGGACACAGCATTTCACTGGGACTGTGTCCAACGAAGCTACCAGTGAAATGGGATATCCAGCTTGGCCAGCTGGACGTGCCTGCATTTTTTCGTTGCAGTTTTGACTGACATGGCACGCGGCCAAGCCTAGAACCGCACAGCTGTATTTTCACTTCACGGTTGTCGCAATCTGGTACTTAATTTCTGTTATCAACATGGCGATCCTTATTTTTTGGATCTGCACGTTACAGGATTCAGTTCCTGCCGGATCATACAATGATCCATTCTTATCTAGTGTGATTCCTATGGTGACTCCGACATGGTGCCATAGGGCCAATTGAGGCAACCCTGTTTGGGGTGAGTGTCGACTGACTTGAATTCCGAATTTACACATTTTAATCTGGTAATTCGTCTAAGTAAAGTGCAACAGTTGGCCTTACCGTTGTGCACCTTTTCACAAAGTCTCGCCGATCCGGCTGTCCCAGGGTTCCTCGCCAACGCAGTTCTTCAACTTTGCAGCCGTGCCGAACATCCAGAAACCTCCTTTTTTCGCAGCAGCTTTTACAGTCACATTACAAGAGACAGAACGCAGGCAGGTACACGATCTTTAGGTGTGGTCTTCTTTCTTTTGATGGTTCTCTGGTGAGGTGAAACATATTGTGCACCTAATTCGCTGGAACTTGAAAGCCATTTATGCCAATTGGGGCAAGACTTGACCACGGTCCCGGCAAGGGAATAACGCACGACATCTAGGTAGTTAGGAACTGAATCCTATCTTTAATTATATAATTGTTTTGGTTTTCTTGTCTGTCATCAACTAGTCCCCCATTTGTTCCCTAATTTTCCCCGCGTGCCTCTCCGTAATGTGTCGTGGGGTTTAGGTGTGTGCGCTGTTTTGGTCAGGTCCGTTTCGCCGTGTAGGTTGGTTCCGGAGGTCCGTCTGTTCCCCTCCCCCCCCTGCGCTGTTTTTGGCCGTTTGCTCGTCGTGTGCCCGCTTTTTTCTTCCTCTTGCCTTTCAGGGTTTTCCCGGCTTTGCCGGGTGTGTGTGTGTGTGTACCATCTGAACAGATGTAAAACTTCTTATTGGTTTTCACTAATTTGCAGGGGGGTGCAGAGCACAGTGGAGACTGCACCCAACGAAGCTATCCACTCGTGCTGGAAGCAGAGTCTGATCAACTCTGTGTACCTGCAAAATTTGGTTTCAACTGTTGATCAAGCTGTTACACTGCGTTGTTTCGAATCTACACGGTTGCCACAATCTGTATTGCATGCATCAGAACCTTCCTCAGATTTTCGCCGAAACCATTTCGCCGACAGTATTATGTTTTTTGACTTATTTTCGCCGAGATCCTGTCGCCGACGAACTATGGGTTATTTTGGGAAACAATCGCCGAAACATTATTTTGGATTTCAACATGCTGGTCAAAACTCTATGGAATCTGGTTATGACTACGTTTGACAATTTCGGATGCCCTACATCGTTTTCGAGAAGTACCTCATGTGGCTCTTTTAGTCATCAAATAATCTAGGCTGGTTTGCATGTTTCAGGATTCAGTTCCTGCCGGATCATATAATGATCCATTCTTGTCTAGTGTGATTTCCATGGTGGCTCCGACATGGTGCCATGGAGCCAATTGAGGCAACCCTTTTCAGGGTGAGTGACGACTGTCTTGACTGCCGAATTAACACATTTTAAGTTGATAATTCATCTAAGTAAACTGCAACAGTTGGCCTTACGGTTTGTCAGCCATTTTGAGTTCTCCTGCTGCTCCGGATGTCCCAGGGATTACTCGCAGATGCGTTTCTTCAACTGTGAAGCCGTGCCGAACTCCAGAAACTTCCTTTTCGCAGCTGCTTTTGACGGTCCATGACAACAGCATTTGATACAGGAATCAGGCAGGCACACGACTTTCAGGTGTGGTATTCCTTCCTTTTGGTTCTCTGGTGAGGTGAAACATTTTGTGCATCTAATTCGTTGGAACTTGAAAGCTGTTTTATGCCATTGCGGCACGACTTGACCACGGTCCCGGTGCAGGGAATAATCGCACGACATTTTAGGCAGTTAGGGACTGAATCCTGTATGTGATTGTTTACTTTTGTTTTGATCTACTGAAGCGATGCATCCGTGGAACACTCCGCCAACGTCATGGCCTGCTCCACCGCAGCCTTCGAACCCACCTTCGACGTGGCAGCAATCAACGCCGAATGCACATCTATTTGGACATCCCTCGGCTTTGCATCCTACATGGTCATCCTCAGCTTCGCTCATGCCGTCTACATCAACACCAACATCGTTGCCGTTCACCTCATTGACTTCGGCTCCTCATGCAGTACCAGGCCCACAGCTAGTACCCACCATGTCTTCGCCTTTGGCTCCTGAACCAACTATGGTGCACACCGCTCCGTCGACTTTTCCATCTCCTATGGCACCCACCGCTCCACCCACGTGGCCTTCCCCTCCGGCTCCATCCCCTACATCGACTACACCACCTACATCGACTTTGACACCGACACCTTTGCCCAGTTCTCCATACCCACCTCACCACATTCAACCTCCATTACAGATGGACGCATCGACTGTCCCTCCAAATGAGCCTTCACCACGGCCCCCAGCAGTCAAGGCAGCTCCCAGGCATCGCTCTGACAAAAGACCGGATCGACCGCGCAGGCCAGCTCCGAAAACCCCTCCTCACGCTACACCACCGGCACCTACGACGGCACCGACTTCATCCGTGTCACCTGAACTTGCATCCCTGGGTTCCACTGCACAACAACTGGCTGAATCTGTTCGACTTATTCAAGCTCAGCAACTATTGATCATGGATTCTCAACGAGCACAAGAACAACGTCAACTCCTTCTTCAACAAGATGAACCTCCACCGAATCCTACACCACCGGCACCGCCACCTACAACTACAACACCATTGATCGCCACGCCTCCACCTGCACCGAAAGCCAGACCTACCGAACCTGACGTTCCGGACCTGCCCCAGCCATTGCTCCTCCTCACCAACTACCAGTTCCATCATCCCCAACACGCCGACCAAGATCTAGGACTCCACGACCACGTTCCCATCGACCTTCTGTACATTCTCATCGCCATCGCTATTCTTCTTCACGTGCAGAGCGACCTCGTTCTCCTCTCCCTCGTCATCGATCATTCACGAAACCCGACAAGGGCCGCAGAACCCCATCTTCATAAAGACGACGCTCACCACCACGACGCCGCTCTCCCGTGGTTCCTCGACGTCATCGATCTCGCCCACGTTCACGTTCCGCGACGCCCCGCCACCGATTCAGAGGCCGTGAAGTCGTACTTCGACCAGCTGCGAACCCATCGAATTCGAACTACATTTTCACTCCCGATGCTGATGACACCTGGGGTACATGGAACGACAGTCACTACACCGACAACTACCATCACCACAATACTCGACCCAATTCTTCTACCGATCCACCACCACCGGAACCACCAACCAACCCACCAACCCACACTTCAGCACCACTCGGCGCTGTGTTTTTCCGACTTCCTGACGGCGACAGTGAAAACTCTGAGGTTGCCGAAACGATTTCGATCACCAAGTTCGACACGAATGACATCGACCTCAGTGAAATGGTTGAGGCAGCCAATGACCCCCTTAGGGTCCGCTGCCTGACGGAGCTTGGACCCGACCATGTTGTTTCTCTACGCCAATCATTGACTCCGGCTATCTCGCAGCTCTTCAACCAATTCGTCGACGCGATGTTCGAACAGCTGGCTCAACCATACCGTACCGTCAACAACCATCGTATTTATATCAAAGCAAGCCAAGCCACCGTCAGGAACATTGCCAGGGCCTTTGCACAATTCAACTTGCTGGACATCGACCTTGCGAGGCAACCACAGGCCTTCTACATCGAGCCAGAGAACCTGCTGACCATCACGGTACCCACAGGATTGCCAAAGAAACCAATCTACCGTGGCGAACACATGGGCACCTACCTGATCTACCACAAAACGAGTTGGGAAACAGTTGCCAAAATTCTGGCGGAAGACTGCATTCGCCCGGCAACTTGGACAAAAAACGAAGCTGGCATACCAACTCAATACCCATGTTACGGGTTCTTCGGAATGTTCTCTGAGATCGCAGACATCGACACCCTTTCCGGCTATGCTGTCAAGATCTGTACCTCTCAGCTCTACAAAATTGGCAAGGAACAAAACCCATCATGCCTGTTGGCCATTTGCCGCTCACCAAAATGCATTCGTGCCCTTGCTGGAGGAAATGACCAAATTCAACGC